TTTAGTCTTGTGTGTTTATATCCTCTAAGATATAGTGTCTTAGAGGATAGAGACCACATCTTCTATTTCTCCTGGGTCTGTCCGTAACCTATAGGACAGTGCTGGGCACAATGTCTTCCTCATGACCATTCAGGGACAGAGGCAGAGCCTGCTGACCGACTGACCTGGCATCTTCTTTCTTTTATTCTTTCTGGAATGTCTTCTCTACCTCTCCTTCAATGAGCTCTTTTTTTGTTTTTTTTTAATTTAATGTTTATTTGCTTTTGAGTGAGAGAGAGAGAGAGCAGGGGAGGGGCAAAGAGAGGGAGACAGAGGATCTGAAGTGGGCTCTGCATTGACAGCAGGGAGCCTGATGCCGGGCTTGAACACATGAACAAGGAGATCATGACCTGAACTGAACTTGGACACTTAACTGACTGAGCTACCCAATGAGGTGCCCCTTCATTGAGCTAACTTACATCCTGAAAAGTGATAATAATGGTCAACACATGTGCTCATCCTGTTCTAAATAGTTGACATATACTAACTGATTTAACTCTCACAACTATCTTATAAGGTATTGTCATTACTCTCATTTTACAGATGAGGAAACTGAGGGCACAGAGAGATTAAGTAACTCATCCAAGTCACACAGTTAATAAGTGGTGGGGGTGGGATTCAAACCCAGGCAGTTTGGTCCCAGAAATCTTGATGCTCTGAATCATTAGGGTCAATGTCACCTTCATCAGAAGCCCTTCCAAAGCCCTTTTCTGCAGTCTTCTATGTATTATCCCTTTACCTCCTCCATTATACAATGGCCCCAGGTAAATATCTTTGTCATTGCCCTTGTAACCATGATTGGAATCCCTGGCTTACTTGTTGGTTCTCCTCACTGGCCTGAAATCTCCCTGAGGGTCTTGGTGTCTGATGCCTAGCAAGCCCTCCATGAGTGTCCCAAGGAAGAATGAATGGGGCTTCAGGTTGCAGGTGACAGATTTCTCGAAGGATCCAAAGAGGTGGGACTAAAAGAAGATTTTCCTTTTCTATGCCATCATCCTGTTAATTACGTCATACCATTTATAACAATCTATAACCGTCTTGTTGGCTTTTCTTTACCTGATTAAAAAAACCCTTTCCTCTTCCCAAGAATGAAGGTGAGGAGCTTTTGTGTCTTATTCTCTGTTCTACTCCACTGCCTGCCATTGAATGTATATTCACTAAATATTTGTTGAGTGAATGAATGAATGTATTGAGTGCCTACTAAGTGTTCCAGGCACTGTATATATGTCATGGTTCTTACCTTCACAGGGTTTCTAAGTTTATGGTGTGATGGTGGTGACAGGGAACACAGGGCAAGGACAATGGCAATACAGAGGTAGGGAAAGGATAGGATGTTTGGAGAAGAAAAGGAAAGAGACTCAGTGTGTGGGATGGGGGGGGAGTCCAGAAAGGGTTTTTGCAGGAAGAAACTCAAAGCACAAAGCTGAAGGAGAGTCAAGAGAGGAGTGATGGGGGAGATGGAGGTGACTCTAGGCAGAGGGAAGGAGGTGTGGAACAGGTAAGGTGATCTGGTGATTTGTGAGCCCACTGGGTGCAGAGTGGAAGGAAGATCTCTGAGAAATGTGCCAGGACACTTGTTGTCTGAGCTCTGCCGTTGCTGTACCTTCTCTTCGCAAATTCCCGTCTCCGCCCTCCAGCTATTCTTGTCCTCCTTTTCATCCTTGTTTCTTTCTGGCTCAAATAGTACGTAAAGTCCTTTCATCTACCAGCATTTTGTCCCTTGGTTGGGAGACTGCCACACTCCCAGCGAATTATGCGATCATAGCTCTTTATGTTTATCTCATGATCTGTGCCTTTGTATCTATTTCTGGAGGAGTCGTCATCTTGGACCCTCATGGTAACTGTCTGAGTTCTCTCGGTTCTCAGTCTAGACCAAAACCTATCAATTATCAGTCCCTTACCTTCATCTTACCACGTGTATTTCCTCTTCTTTGCTCATCCCTACACAGGTGCTTGATCTGCCAATGAATTTCTATCTCTCTCTCTATGTCATTCATTTAAGAACCCCCCCCACCCCAGGCCAAAAGTATCCCGTCTGGTGAATACTTAAAGGGCAGTAGAATGTAATATTTATACTCAGATCTGTACTGAGAGGCCAAGGGTATTTGGTCTTAGATTTTATACTTTGTGTTTCCTTTGTTGTTGGGACCATCTATTCTGTCTTTGGACAGCTTGAATTATTTGGAAATTTCTTCTCAGGGAGTTTTGATGTGCCTACGCACGGAGTCCATCCATTGGTTCTGGCTCTACAGTTAGGTTCCATGGGGGCCGAATAGCAGAGTAGCTAAGGGCGTCTGAACCTTGGCTGTGCTGCGCACATTGCTGGCTTCGGGACCCTGTGCAGGTTACCTCGCTGTCTGTGCCTGTGTTTCTCCTCTGCAAAATGGGGCTAATGATAGTGTGAGAACTTCCTAAATGTTAGCTGTTATTATATTTTTACTCTTTGTGGTTAGAGTGAGCAAGAGAAGAGTGGGCTTCCAGTGGCCCCGTGAAGTGTAATTTGAACTCACACTTTATAAAATGCCACTTTTGACTCATCTCTCAGAAAAAGGAAAGATATGCTTTTAAGTCAAATGCACACTCCTCCAACTTATTTCTCTAAAGAGATTTGATAGTGTCATTCTGACAGTAAAACTTTAATTTATGTGGCATAGTTCCTTTAAGAAGTTACAACTTTCCTCACACTGTTGAAAGTTCTAAGAAATAAGTGGTAATAGTTGTATTTTTTGCAGAGAGGAAGGGATACCAGCCTAGAGCATTATGCCCTGGGCATATCCAGATATAGTCCAGGCTTCCATCTGGATACTGGCCCTGACTGGGAACTGGCCCCTCACCTGTGAGCCATCACTGACACCCAACTGTGAGACCAATGCCACATCCACCCGTATCAAAGTGTTATTCTTTGGGAAGAACAAAGTGGAGAGGCAGAGGAAGTGGGATCTTTGCCACCAAGAGAATTTAGGGGGGTTGTAATACCCAAGTCACACAACTCTTCCCCTCCCCCAAGTACCATCATTGGGATCCCTTGGAAAGACAGTGGTCAAGCTGGGCTGGGGCACTCAGAAATAGGGAGGTTCTCCTGGAGGGGAAGCCTAGGGGCACCCTGGAGCCCAAGACACAGGGTCCCACAGCTCCCTAGACTCCTCAACATATGAACTGGGGCGCAGCGTAAACATTTTATTGAGATCTGAACCCAGTGCTTTTGTGCCTAACCATTTTGGAACTCAAAGGGGAAACAAATAAAAAGAAGGAAATGAGCGAGAAAAAGGATGGAATTTGCCTCCGTTTCCCAGCAGGACAGACGTCTCAAAGCACCCAAATTGAAACAAATGAGTTAATTACATGTCCTTTAAACTATGTTTATTTACACTTGCTGCCTTCCGAATTTGGGCTTTGCAGTCTCCTAAGACTCCTTTGTTCTGGAAGGAATCTGAATTCAAGAGGACAGCTGATTTGTGGGGCTTTAGCCAGAGGAAGTTAGGCTGGGCAAGCAAACCTGGGTGCTGCTGCACTATTTGTTCAAAAACTATATTCTGATTCCTGTTTCTATTTGGCTGTTGGGCAAAACAAATGCATAATTAAGAACTTCACCTTTGACTGTTTAGCTCTCCTTAATTTTTTCTTTTAACACCAGTAGGAAATTTCCATTTTCATATAGTAGCATCAAGATACCCTGCTCTATTGAATCAACCAGTAGGTTTTGAAAATAAGCATAACAAGCCATATAAAAAATAAGAAAATCCACTTTTAGGGTTTTAGATTCATGCCGTTTAATTGTTCGTCTATTTCCATGATAAGGTGAGACTGGTCCTGTGTCACCGGAGGGACTGTATCCTGCTGTTTTTTCCCATCCTCATTTACAATGATTATGTTATCAGGCTAGCCAGGCAAAAGGGTGGAGCGACTATAATTTCAAAGCAGGATTAGGTTGAAATAACGAGGTCACCAAGTTGTGGTTACCAAGGCAACGTCACATCTAAGAATATGGGATGCTTCTAGGAGATGAGGCAAAGCCTGGAGCCTTTTTTCCCCCCTCTGCACAAAAATCGCTCACTTCCTAGATAAAAATTCCTTATTAATTGCTTTTAAACACATTTATTCTTTATTTTTAGGAATCAGCTTTAAAAAAAAATAAGCTTGATTTAAAAGTTTGTATTTTTTATTTTTATTTAACTGATAATGAATCTCACAATAGTCGATTGGACCACTGTTTTCCGCTCCCTTTGGGAACTCGTATTTACTTTCTTCTTTCAGTTTTTTTCCTTTCTCTGCATGCCCCCGGCCCCCCCCCCCCACCTCCCTCTTTCCCTTTCTCTTTTAATACTGCAGGGAAAAGACATGGAACAAAATGAAAAAATTGAAAGTTAGGTGTTCTGGTCAGATTTTGAGATTACAAAATTGTAATAGGTGCTGAAAACTGTAACCTACAGCCAGAATATTCATGCCTCCCTTCTTCAGAAAAATGCTGAGCTCGAGTGAGAAAACCTTGGTCTTCATTGTCTCCTAAAATTTCAATCCACCTTTAAAATTGTGGACTATGGAGGTAAAGCAACTAAGAGGGAGAAGATCCAGCAGTCAGTGCTTCTGACTTCTGATCAATATCAGCTATCAGTCCGAACAATTCCCGCCAATTAACCTCTTTTTCCTCCAAATTCATTTCTGTCCTCTGAGTTTTCAGATAATGGCTTCAAGTTTCTTCATCTTATAAAAAGCAGGCTTATTTTAATATGGGTTCGTGTTTGTGAAGCACGGATTTTACTTAGGTCTTTTCTTAAAAGAACATTTCTGACCCAGCGTGAATCACTGGACATCGTGCCGTGTGATTGGAACCATCAGATTCCTTCGCGTTACAACACGACTGCTCTTCAGGACATGTTGGCTGTTCACCTTTTGCCCTGGCTTTGCATAAGGAATATGAAGTGTGCTTGCAAACAGAACCTTGTTAGTGGGCAATAGTTTCTTCCTCCTGGAAACCCATGTCAAAGGATTCTCATTCTCATCATTTTGTTTTCAGTTTTGAGCCTGGGGTGATGGAAAGCTTCTGGATTCCAGAGTCTGCAGGATATGGGTTTGAAGATCTGCTGCGTGATCGTGGACAGGTAAAATCACCACTCTGAATTTCTTCACATGGCTCTATGAGGACTGAATGAGATATCATGGAAACAGCACTTACCTCAATGTCTGACATTCAAAATAAACCTCACATTTCCAAAATAATAAAGATGCATATGAAATTAATCTGTCTTCCCAGTCTTGCCCCCTCCCTGTCCCCTAATACCTTCAGGATAGTTTTCCTAAAATTCAAATCAGATTATATCATTTCCTTGCTGCACTGGGTTGGATAGTGTCCTCCCCAAATTCATGTCCACGTGGAGTCTGTGAACGTGACCTTATTTGGAAATAGTCTTGGCAGTTGTGATCAAGTGAAGATAAAGTCAATCTGGATCGAGGTGGACCCTAAATTTAATATGAACAGTGTCCTTATCAGAAGAGTGACATTGGGACACAGGGACACAGGGATACAGACACACAGAGACACAAAGAGGAGAATGCCATGGGACGACAGAAGCAGAGATTGGAGTGATGCGTCTATAAGCTGAGAAACACCAAAGGCTGCTGGCAACCACCTGACATTAGGAAGAGGTCTGGAAGGGTCCTTCTTTGGAGCATGCAGAGGGAGCATGGCCCTGTGGACACCCGGGGTTCAGACTTTTGGCCTCCAGTACTATGAGAGAGTACATTTCCAGAACTATGAGAGAAGTGTTTTCTTGAGCCGCTTGACTTGTGGTAATTGGTTACAGCAGCCCTGGGAAACTAACACACCCGCTTCAAACCTTGCGGTGGTTCTCATCATCTGAGTGAGGTCCGAGGTCCCACAACCTGCTCCCTGATGGTCTCTGCAGCCTTACTGCTCCTGTCCTTTCTTCTGATGTCTCATCTACTCTAGATGTCTTTCAGTCTCTCAATGCAGCGCTCTCCTGTGCCCCAGAGCCATGTCCTCCTACAGACCATCCGCCCATCTCTTCTTAGAACAGCCTTTCTCTCCCCGGTCACCTAGTTAACTCCCACATATCTTAAAAGTATCGCCTTAAACATCCTTCCTTAGGGGTCTTCCCAGATGCCTAGAATGGTGGAAGCCCTTTCAAGTGCTCCCCCAGCACTCATCCTCATTTCTCCAGTTATTTTGATGGCAGACCATAAGCTCAGTGAGGTCAGGACCTGCCTCTGTTCTTGCTCACCTCTGGGTTTCTGCATCCTGGGATGGGGCCTGGGAGAGCACAGGCCCAATCAACACAGATGGAATGATTCAGTGAATGAATGACTGAGTACATGATTGTTTGGCATGCGGTTAAAATCTTAGTAAGATCTGGTGAGAGGTAGAAATGCTGCTGATCAGAGATAAATTAGCAGCTAATCTACAATTTGGATTGATTACCATTGGTCCAAATTTATAGGATTTTGATTGTTTTCAGGAAATATAGGCCCAAAGTTCCTCCTCCCCTCCATCTGATTGTCTACTTTTAACTAAAAACTAATATATGTTCATGGTAAAAAATGAAAACATTTCAATGAAACATAAGCTTTTCTTCCATCTCAAAACCACATCCTACCTGCTTTCCCTAGAAACAGCAATTATTATGAGTTTCTTATTATTATGAATAATCCAGTAGAAATAATCCAAACATACAAAACACACAATATGCACAATGTTTTGCTGTTTATTCACTTAAAATATGTCTTACAATGAATTTTGTATTGGCACATATAGTTATATCTCATTCTTTTTTTTATTGGTTGCAATTTATTTAACTGTCCTCCTAATGTTGAAGATTTACATGGTTTCCTGATTTTTGATATTACAGATTATACAACAAACCTTCTTGTACACAAATCTTGGTGAGGTTATAACGGTAGGATATATTTCTAAAGGTGGCATTGTTGTGCCCTAAGCCAACCACAAATACATTAGGCCAAGGGATCAATTGGAGAAAGAGAATAATTTTGATTTAAAAAACCCTTTAAAGTTTTGATAAGATATAGATAGAAGACGAAATGGCTATTGAGAAGGTTATTCCAGGTTAATTTTTTTTTCTTAAAGATGCATTTTCTTTTTCTAATTTAGGTCAACAGAGTCCAAAAAAAAATGACTCCTTGAACAATTCTGAAATTATTGTTCTAATTTTTTTTTTGTGTTGTCAGCCATATGGCTAATTACCATATAGGCTATATTTTTAATAACATATAGTAAAAAGGAAAATCAAAGTAGGTTGAAAAAAGGAGTATGGGCTAAAAATAATTGTACATTTAAAAAAACTAAACACAAACAAAATCTTACTTGAATGTCAGAAAGATTTAGGTAATCATTGTGAATTTATTATGCTAGTCACGAGTAGGTATGTTAAGATCCTTTAAAAAACAAGTTTTTAACAGAATTGGAAATTTCACACAACCAAGATTCTTGTAAAATACACAACGTGATTTTGAAGACTTGAGATATTTATAAGTCAGGGAATGGGGGGACTTATGATCTAAAAAATCAAGACATATTGCAGTCTTCTTAGAAATACAGGGGGAAAAAGTCCATATAAAAATAGCTAGTTTTAAGCACCAGAAGTGCTAGGAATTTAATTCCACAGTCATTTATTAAGGACTTATGGTGTGTGTAGTTTCAAAGAATAGAAGGGAGATGACTTTTACCCAGAAGGAACTGGAATTTGTAATCCAAGACAACCATTTCTAAGAATGCTGCTGCTTTATTCTTTAGAATTTTCTACTTAAAAAAAATGGGAACATAAATTGCTAGAAATAATTTCACCTTAAATGTGTGTTTAACCTTTTATCCAGTCATTCCGGTTTTGGAAATGTATTCTAAAAGAGACAATCATCTCTATCTCTATCTATCTATCAGCTATCTGTCATCTATCTATCTATCTATCTATCTATCGAGAGAATGCCAAAGGTTTGTTTTCAGAGGTTTTTTTTTTTTTTTCAACCCAGACGTGAGCAGCCTTCTTGACCTTGCCCTTTGGAGAGCAGGGTGAAATTGGGAGATGTTCCGACTGTCTGCCTCCTGCTTCCTGCTTCTTTCACACAGCTTCTTTTATTACATGTCAATCCAGACATGAAATCCAAGCCCTTTGTTAGTTCTGGGGAAAAATCCTCAACAAAAACATTGTTTAAAAGTTAAGATTCATGGGGACAGGTAGACTGCAAACTATGTTCTGTTCTCTAGGGTTTGTTTGGCCACCTTATGATCAGGGACCCTCTCATGGCCTGTCCCCAGTCAGTACCCACCATTAAATCATGGCTCTCCTCTTTTCTCACTTTTACTTTTTCCCTCTAGAACAACAAGAAAATTCATCTCCCCGTTTTAGACGAGCAGTTAATTCCCCTTCTTTGAAGTTTTGGGGACCAGTTGCCATATACTTCCTAAAATATCAATCTACCCCAAACTTTAAAAAAATTATTTATTTTTTTGGGATATAATTGACACCCAATATTATGTTACTTTTAGGCATACAACATAATGATTCAATATTTTGTGAAATGATCACCATAGTAAGTCTAGTTAACATCCATCACCATACACAGTTACAGACCCCCAAACTCTTAATCAAGGATTTTCCCCGAAGAAAGCTTCCCCCTAAGAGAAATTTCACATGTTTGAATAATATTTTATTTCATTTTTACACCTTCCTCTCTATCTTTACTGTAATAGTAAACATTTGAAAACAATCTAAATGAAAAAAATAAGAGAATGGCTGGATGAATTATAATCATGACCTATACTGACTTTTATACTGTCCTAAAATTATGTTTACAAAGGTATTGTTCATTCATTCATTTATTCATTCATTCATTCACTAAGTATTTACTGAGGGCCTGTTATGACTTGGGAGCTGTGCCAGGCATTGGGGATATAGTGAGGTAAACAGAGGACACAAAATCTCTGTTACAATCTAACAGGAGGGACAGATATGAAACAAATATTTTCACATTCACTAATGAAGTACACTTGTGGCAAGTGCTATAAAACAACAGCACTGGGTCCTGGGAAATTGCAAAAGGGGAACCAGAACTGATTTGGAAGAGGTAAATTTTGGAGGTCATATGTGAAGACCTGTTAACTAGGCAGGTGGAGAGGGAGTGATGGTGGGAGAGTTCCAAGCAAAGGGAACAACATGTGTAAAGGTCCTGGAGTGGAAGGAAACAGGCTGAGTTTGAAGAACAGGAAGGGTTAATGAGGCTGAAGTATAGAGAACAAAGCCAGGATGATGTGAAATGCACCTGGAATGAATGCTGGGGTCAGAACATGTAGAACCTTAGGGGCTGTGTTAACAAATTTGGAATTTTTTTTTTTTTTTAAAGTTTTTTTTTTTTAATTTTTTTTTTTAATTTTTTTTTTAAACGTTTATTTATTTTTGTGACAGAGAGAGACAGAGCATGAACGGGGGAGGGGCAGAGAGAGAGGGAGACACAGAATCGGAAACAGGCTCCAGGCTCTGAGCCATCAGCCCAGAGCCTGATGCGGGGCTCGAACTCCCGGACCGTGAGATCGTGACCTGGCTGAAGTCGGAAGCTTAACCGACTGCGCCACCCAGGCGCCCCCTGGAGTTTTGCCTTAAAAATAAGGGGAAGCCATTGAACATGTTAAGCAGCAGGATGACATGAGATTTGGGTTTTTAAAGATACTGACTGCAGTGTAGAATGGATTGTTAGAGGCCGGGAGTAAATATAAAGGGACCCATTAAGGAGTTATTGAAGGTGTTCTGCTAAGAGATGATGGTGGTTTAAGCCAAAGGGGATTTTCCCTCTTAGGATACTTTTGGCAATGAATGGGGACATTTTCGTCTGAAATTAACTATGGTAGTTTTCTTTCGATTAATGTTAGCATGGTATATCTTTCTGTACCCCTTTGCTTTTAACCTATGTCTTTATACTTAAAGTGGATTTCTTATAAACAACATGTAGTTGGGTTTTTAAATCCACTCTTGTAATCTCTGCCGTTCAATTGGTGTATTTAGACCATTCATATTTAAACTGAATATTGATATAGATGTGTTGATACCTACCATGTTTGACCCTGGTTTTTCTTTGTTACACTTGTTCTAGAAATAGAAGTTCCAAGAGCACATAGTTTATGTTTTTCACTCTCTCTGCAGACTTGTCAAACTTCCTAAACATTTCAGGAATTAAGTAAGTCGTAAGGACCCACTACTGACAATATTTACTAACCAGACTGATATTTCCCACTCTCTGTTGGGCATAGGTGTTTGACTTACCTTTGGCATCTCAAACTCAGTCTGTGCAAACCTGATTCCTCTTGATTAATGATGTCAATTTCCATCCAACCATTCAAGATTAAAATCTTGACATCATCCATTTCTCCTCTCCTTCTTTATTTCTCCTATTTAATTGGACAATGTGTCCTACAATTCTAAATCAGAAATGTCTTTCTGATTTGCTTCTGTTTCTTCCTGCTGTTAATACTTCAAATCAGGCCAGCATCATCTCCTACTTAGAAAATTACAAAAGCTTCAATAAGTGTTTTCCCCTTTCTTGCATCCTCTACATAGCCCCCAGCAATGCAATCTCATTTTATTACTCCCCTTATTTAAAATTTCCATTGGCTTTCCACTTCATCCCTAGGATAGCTCCATACTCTTTACCATGGTAAATAAGATTTTGGGAACCTGTCTTCTACTTTTCTGGTTTCATCTTCTATTTGTGCTCCCATACTGCTTGCTGTTCAGAGATATGGAGTGCACATTCTGCACTTGAATGTCTCAGTGCCTTTGTGATGCTGTTTCTTTATGCTAGAATGCTCTTTCCTTGCTTCTCCAAATGACCAGTTCCTGCTTGTCATTTACAACCCAAGTTGAATGACACCTTTTCATGAAGACTTCCATGACTTCTGTATAGAGGTTTGGATCTCTTTTTCATGTCACATAGCACTTTTCATTTATCTGAGAGGAACACTCAGTATACCTAATTACTTGCTTCCAGATCTTCCTTCCCCATTAAGCTGTGTGCTGTCTTCTTATTCTTTTAGGGAGGCACTTATTCTAGTGCCTTTATATAGATCTTACATACAATTCTTTATTGTCCTTATTGGTGAGGGATGAATACATTCTTTTGGTTTGATATTATTGGTGAGAATAAAGAAAGATGCTCACTCTGTGGATTTCTCTTAAGGCTTTCTAGTTGCTGGGCATATTTCAGAGCCATGGACAAAGACAGTTCAGTTCTTCAATGCTTTCCTCTGCTCTCAGAAGCAGAATCAGACTTGTGTCCCCTACCAACAAGCACAAGACTGAGAAAGGCTTGACTAGAGTGTTCCAGATAGCTACACCCCCAGAATGACAGAAGCTTCAGGCGGCAGTCAGAAATCTTTGATGTGCAGTTTCCATGCACCTGTTGTAACTTTCTTTGGTACAAGAAGTAAGGTTGTCACAAAGGAAATTATATATTCTGGGCTTCTTCCTTCCGCCATAGTTTTTTAATTCCTTCTAAAATTAGGGTTTCCTGCAGTTATTTGATCATCCACCCCTTAGTAAAAAAGTCTATTTTACATATTAATATATCTCAACGTTTGCCAAGTGTTGACTATGCATGGCTTGGATAATTCAGACATGGAATGATATCTCAATTGAAAAATACACACACACACACACACACACACACACACACACATAGGCACACAGGCTAGAAGATTATTTCACTTAGATGAGCCTAGTTTAGAATTTCTTGGGCTATTAAGTGAGAACAGTTCATCACCTAGACTAATGGCTGAACTTCTGTGTTGGTACATGATGATTTTCCTTTCAAATCAGTTTACACATGAATATAACACAGACAATCCAATTTGATCTTGTATCCAAATTCCATTGCTCAAATCAGAAGTGTAGTCATGGCCCAAGACTCCAGCCTAACTCCCCAGTTGGGGATTTACTAGGAAATGTTGGTGTTGCCTCTTCTGTATACATTACTGTCTGTTGCTTCTCTAATCAAATTGATTTTTCCTCAGGATGAATCTTTCCCTGGTACTTACTTAGGATCTTGTTGATGGAACATGGAGGAAAAATACATTATGCATTTCATGTGGAAAAAAGCTCTAACCAGGTGAAGTTTCATTAAAAAATATACAACTGTTTTTGATAGAATTTTAAGATAGAAAAGGTGTTGTCCTTTGCGATTGAGCCTCCAAAAGCATTCAGTCGGCTCTGGTGGTTATCTCTCCTAAAGGCAGCCGAGTCCTCTGTCCTTCTTCCCCTTCTTCCATTTCCTCCTCGCTTGTCCAGATTTTCCTGGGTCTGTGTCTCAGCTCAGCTCCAGAAGCAAGGTGGATCGAGTGGAGGATATAAACCTAGGGACAAACACGCTCAGCAAAGTGTCAGCAAGAAATACAGTATCAATAGCTGTTAAAAATATACCAGTAATATGCTATATAAATATATATTCTTTATAGTTATGTCTATAGTAGGAAAACAAAGTCTTATTTAGTAAGAAGATATTTTATCAGTTTCTCTAGACCTAATTTAAAAAAAAACAACCAGCAGTATAGCTGAGGAAAATGTAAAATTTTTACATTAATGGCTAGTCTCTGGGTACTTTAAATAATTCCAAAGATAAGTGTAGACCCTTTCTTTATGAACTTTTGTGACATGACATTATTATGTTACTGCAGAATAGATTAAAAACAGCACCTAATTTCTGTTCAGCCACAATTAGAGGTGAGGTTCCAACCTGGTTCATTAATCTTTCAGATAAGAAATAAACTTGTTTTTCCTAAACTGTTAGGAGATTGATACTCTCGCTTCGGTGGCGTTTTGTTTACTTGGCATGTAAACTGTCTGGGCTTGTGGGCACTGTACTTGATTTGTCACCTCAGGATAAGATAATTTGGGATCTTTCACATTTCCAAATCATGTTGTGCCTAAGCAGTTGAACCAGCTGACAAATGAGATGTGCCTGCAGTGCGGCTCCGGGGGTTGGGGGTGGGGGCGCTGGGCGGGGGGCTGACGAGTGTGAGCGGCATGTTGGTTTATTAACAGACACATTTGATTCCAGAGGTTAATGTTTTTGTGCACAAGACAGATTACACAGTGCACAATCTGCATCCCAAAGAGAGATACAGAGCTGCAGCCCATGGGTTGGGCCACCATCCCTTTGGTCCCTGAGCTGTTGTAGCTGCAAGGTTCCTTCGTGAGAAGTGGCCTGGTCATGGTTCTTGGAAGGCCAGGCTCCCGGTTTCCTGCAGTTGATTCTTTCTAACTGTTGTGATTTTTTCCCATTTCTCTGTTGTTTATGCAAGTTCAACTTTTTTTTTTTTTCCTCTGCTAGGAATTTGGGAGCACTGGTGGCCTGTGCTACCTGTTGCGTGTTCACTAACCCAGCATTAAGTCATGTCATTGTGTCAGTTAATGAGCAATTGTATGTCAGACAATAATAGTAAGAATAACTGCCATTCGTTGAGTGATTGTCTTATGCCAGGCACTGTTCCAAAGCTTCTCATGAATTAACTTATATCATCCTCACCTCAGGGTGAGGAGAGGACTGGTACTCTTGCCATTTTATAGAGGAGGAAATGGAAGCCCAGAGTCACTTGCCCAAGGTCATTACTAGAGACAGAACCTCAACAGGTGTCCTTTCAACCCAAATAAAGGCAGCTGCAGAGCGGCATGGGGTGTTGGCGTCACTTTGAGTTGTGGTGATGTGGCGCTCACCCAGGTAGGGATAACCTCATTCAGGGATCACTTGGATTTCTTTGTTTGTCTTACTGGGCCCTAGAGTCTGGGATTCAACATGATCACCTGTTGAGAGAGCCTCAGTTGACTGTACAAGAAATGGTTCCCCGACCCAGAGCAGAAAGGAGTGTGCTCTGAATTGAGGTTTTCATACCAGTGGTTGAGTTCTTCATCTCTTTCTCTGCAATGGCTCCAAACATCCTTACTTGCTGAATTCTATAGCTCTGGGTTCCTCTGATAGCTATTACGTAGGTCCGTGTGGTGAGACAGCAATGAGATCCCTTCCCTGCCCCTTCCCCTCCTGCCCTTCTCCTCCTCCCCTTTCTTCTCCTTCAGGATGCTTTCTGTTAAAGGACAAGTCACTTCTGAATTAGGTTCTTGGACCGAATTTCCACATGTGTACGTGTGTAGGGGGCATTTCCATACAACACCAAGCACTTCTTGGATGCCAGCTGGTGTCCTACAATGCAACTCAATTATCTACCCAGAGACAGCATCAGATTCCACAGGTTAAGGGTTCAGTCCTACAAGACTGCCCCCAGCCCCCTGCCAACTTCAGATGCCAATTGCAAGCCCAGGTTCTTACCTGTGCTTCTGACCGACTGCTACAATTTGGAGTTTCCCATGACCTCCTTTTTTGGACTTCAGACACTAGTTGCAAGCCCAAGTTGTTACCTGTACTTCTGCCGACTGGCTAGAAATCAGAGGTTCCTATGACCCACTCCTCAGGTTCAGTTAATTTGCCAGAGTGGCTCACAGAACTCAAAGAAACATTTTACTTACTAAATCACTGGTTTATTATAGACGAATGTAATGCAGGAATAGCTAGATGGAAAGGATGCGTAAGGCAGGGTATGGGGCAAGGAGTTCCCATGACCTCTCTGAGTATGCCACTCTTTCCACATCTCCATGTGTTCACCAACCTGGAAGTTCTCTGAATCTGTCCTCTTGGGTTTTTATGGAGGCTCTACTACATACTCATTGGTGATTAAATCAATGGCCATTGGCGATTGATTCAAAGTCTGGGTCTTCTCCAACAGAGGTGAGGTGTGAGTGATGGGGAGGTGGGACTGAAGGTTAACCCTCTAGTCACATGGTTGGCTCCCTTGGCAACCAGGGTGGGGTCCAAAAGTCATCTTATTAACACAACAAGAGACACCTTTATCACTGTCCACACCAAGGAAATTCCAAGGGTTTTGGAACTGTGAGTCTGTGAAACTGTAGACAAAGACTAAATATATATGACAAATGTGTTTTGGTCATCTGAATGACCACATGTATATTTTTCTTTTAAATCACAATGTTGCAGCCTCTGAGCAGTGTCTTACGGATTTTGCCTTTGGTCCATGCTTTTTGCTGTGAAGCCAGGAGTCCACCAATGCTTTTCCTGAGGGAAGATGGCTGCCAACTTGATTACAATCTGAGAAAGATTGCCACCTGCCCCCAAGTTGCTGAATCTATGATATTCTCTGTTATAAAGAAACATCTCCCTGTCCTTATTTGTTTCTTTTCCTCCCTCAAGTTATCTTCAGCAACCCTAAAGTTTTGCTATTAACCATTTTCTGTCTGCACTGTGTGGGTGACTCCATAGGAGAGCAAAGCTACTACAATTTCTCGATTCTGAAGTGCACGTCCCCCCCCCCATTTTAATATCTCTGAAATTGAGTGGTATCTTCCAATCAATGGCACACAAGGTTTAAATGGTAGCATTTTCCCCCTTAGAGATACATAAACTAGTACTGTATAATTGATGGACACTTAGATTCAATGAAATGCAATATTATGTATTAGGAGACCAGGGGAAAAATCTCTTTTCTAATAAGTATTTGTCAAATACCTGCTAGATGCCAGGCTTTTGCTAAATGTTGGGGATACATACATGAAGAAGGCATAGCTCCTATGCCGAAGGAGAGCATAAACTCCAATTTGATGAAAGTTTAAGAAGTGAGGGCTGGGATGCATTCATATAACCAAAAGGGCTTGTGAAGTCTAAAACAATTGATTGGTATAAGGTATTATTATGATTTCCTGAGTTTTATAATATTAAAAATGTCTTCAGAATTTTACAGTCAGGACTATCACTCTTGAAGGCTGTCAGTGCGCTTCCTTGAAGGAACATTTTTCTGACAGGAATCTGACAGAAGTCAATGTGTCCTCAGAGCTTTTACTCTTAGAGTTTCTCTCAGCCTAACGAGGAATCCTTTATCTTAATTAGGTTTAAATATATCTTCTTTTGACCCTAATCAACCTCTAGTGGAGAGCTGTGAATTTCTTAGACTATTTTTTGGTCCTCTTTTGATTGGTTTTTCTTAGCAACTTCTTTCAAAAATGCGTAAGTGGTAGGGTAGAGGAGAAAGAGAAAAACAAACTTGCATGGAATGTGCTTTGCATTAGCCATTCTCCTCAGTGTCCTAAATTCTTGCTACTCTCAAGTGTGGTCCAGGGACCAGCAGCTTCAGCATTGCCTGGGAGCTTTGTCGAAATGCTGCATCTCAGGCCCTGCCCTGGACTTACCGAGTCAGAAGCTGCATTGGAACAAGAATCCCAAGGAAATTCACATACACATTTAAGTTTGAAAATCACAACCCTACATCATTATTATGTTTAATTTGAACAGCTACCTGATGATGGAGATTTTGCTATTCCAGTTTTGGGCTGAGGAAAAAGATGCTTGGAAAGGTTAAGTGACTTGTTTAACATACAAGGTTGAAAAGTAGATGAGGCAGGATTCATATTCTAGTTTTTTCGGACCCACATTATGTCTTTCTACACTGATTCTTCTGTGTCCCCTAGTGTCGATGAACAGCAAATGATATATTATTATCTTTACCTTTTTATAAGTTTTGTACACCCCCAGACATAACAAAGAGCTTATTAAACTCAAATAGTAAAGATAAGCATTTATATCCTGATGATTGCCTTAAAGCACCATATCTCATGTGCTCAAAGGTCCAGAGGGCTCAGGATTATTCCAGAAACTGGACTGGGATGAAGCATGTCAGTTAGGTGGACAAGACCTAATTATGACCGTGATTGTCAAAACAGCTCTGTTTAGAGCTTTGAACTTCATGTTCTGCCCTTCCAATTGTAGGAGGTGATAAAGAGGATGGAAAGGACTGAATGGGAAGGGGGAGGAGGCCAGGAAGAGAGACATTCCCATGTTGGCTGGCCAGCTGGTGAGTGCCCTGGAGAGAATTGTGATGGAGAGAAGGGAAAATTTAGTATTATGACAATACTATTTATTATTAATCTACAGTCTTAATTCTAATTTCACTTATTGTCCCCCAAATTATTCATGTGGAATTTTTAAAGATTCCAATCAAGATCTATACAATGCATGCATTACATTAGGTTTCTGTGTCTCTTTTATCTGCATTCACATGCAACATTTCCTCAGCCTTTTTCTGCTTCTCTGGGCATTGATATGTTTGAAGAGCACAGGTTCCTTATTTGGTGGAACACACATCAATTTTGGTTTGTCTGATGTTACCTCACAGTTTGATTTAGGATATGCATTTTTGGCAGGAACGCCATAGCAGTGATTCTGGGTCCTTCTCAATGCAGCAGTTTCTTTTCAAATACCGACCCTCATGAAGAGGAGTGAGGCCTCCTTAGAGAAAGTCTGATTCTAAGGAAGATTCAGATGATCCTGGAGCATGTTGTTGCCCAGAAAACAAGGAAATGCTTACAAGGTTTCAGGATGCAGCTCTGAAAGCTACCTCTGGTCAAACATGGGACAAGGTGATCATTAAAAGTCAAGGATAGTGATCAACTGGTCACCTGTTGAATGACATCAATATCAATTATCAATGGGAGAATGGTTACAGTAAAATCCCCATAAATATATAGAGAAAGGAACAAGGAAGAAATTACATATCCCAACTTATAGAAGAAGGAAATAAATGCCAACTAATAAAAATGTAGAAGTTAGAAAACCACCATTTTGAAACCATGAGTATGATCACTGTTTCAGACAAGGCTCATCCACATGGATGCGAAATCATCCACATGGATGATAAAAAGTTTAATGAGGAACAGGTATTTACTTAATCTCAAAGTATCTCCCCACATTGTTTATTGTAACCAAATATGTTTTTTATTAGAAATGACTTTAAGACTAAAATGTGCTAGCTAAAAATGAATATTTCAAGACTGCCATGCCAGACTCAGACTCATCAAATCAGAATGTCTGCTGGGATTAGATCCTGAGAATCAGCTTTTTTTTTTTTTTTTTTTTTTTTTTTTTTTTTAAGTGGGCTTCACACCCAGCACAGAGCCCAGCCTGGGGCCTGAACTCAGGACCCTGAGATCAGGACCTGCGCTGAGATCAAGAGTTGGACACGTAACTAACTGAGCCACCTAGGCACCCTAGAGAACCAGCTTTTTAATAAGCCCATTTAAATGTTGTCACCACTGACTAAGGACTTCCAATCTCTGCGTTGATGGAAATTCCACTCTTTTCCTCTTACTCCGTCCTGGTGGCTTGAAGGGTGATGACAGGTAGCAGAATCACCCATCTCATTTCCTTTTGATTCTGATTTTGATCTGATCATTTCAGACCAGAGTGAAACGCTCTTTATTGACTTGGAGCCCTTGTGTCCACTGCAAAGCATCGTCTTCCTTTTTTTGCCAATCCAGCAACAAAGAATTCACATTACCAAACATACAGTGCTCTTTTTGTTATCCATGTGGTTTTAATTAAGTTTTAACTAATTTCCTTTATCTTGTCATAATTATGATCTTCCAAGTCATGTCACATTAATATGTGAAAACAGCTCCCTGGCATGTCGGGCCAAGGAACAAAGCCATTATGACCTGTCTTACTAAATTAAAGTGGGGAGACCAATCAACTTACATTTTGTTGCTTTCTTTGATAATTTATGTTAAAGGTAAGTGAAGGTTCAAAGGAGACAACACATTGCAGCCTATCGTCCCCATCACATATACAGCAAATAAAAGTATTGCAGACTTTAAAAATGTACATACATCACCAGAGAAATGAAAAACAAGACAGCATATATCAAGGAAGCTACTGGTAGTGATCAAATTGATCTGTTGCAACCCAGACTTTCAGGTTTGTAGAAGTCTCTGTAATGACCATATTTTCGCTAATATCAAGTTGGCAACATATCATTAGACAATGGATTTTATTTTTCTGATTCATGAATTTGTTTAAAAGGAAGGTTTGCAAAGGTAAATGCATGCAATCCCATTTATCCGAATGCTATTTATTGAAAAGAATGAAATGGAAACTCATCTGGGAAAATCTGGGAATAGAGTCACTGCAGGTGGAAACTACATTTTGGGTAAAACAAGACAAGGTAGGTTGGAAAGGATAGTTCCTCTTCCCGCTGCTGGTGCAAACAGATGCTGACTACTCTGGGTGTGTTTAATGCAAGCACTTTTGAAGGCTCTTGCTGTGCAAACTCTCAAGTTACTGCACAGGACAGGACTGCTAAGCCTCATTAAATCTTTTTGCTGATAGATATTTTGGCACTTACTCACCAAGTGGCCTGTGTGTGTGCAGTTTAAGAGATCCTTATTTTTTTAAATACAATTCTCATTGATTAATCTTTATATAGCTATCATTTCTTGAGCACCTGCCATAGGCCATGTACCATGCTGAGTCCTATTCCCCACACTAATTTAATTCAAATAGTAGGCCTGGAAGGTAAGCATTACTGTCCCTATACACGTCTAAGGTGCTGAGCTCCCCAAGGTTAAGTACCTTGCTCAGCTTGTCAGTTAATAGAACCAGATTTGAACCCAGGAATCTGACTTCCAAACTCATAGTGTCTGGCTGGCCCTCTCTAGTGCACTTATGAGATGCTTGCAGGAATGATGAGTTCCGGTCATGCTCTCAACTTATCTGTTCTGGGTTCCTGCTAGTTTGCCTTTTTGCTCTGTGAGCAGAACTTTATTTTCTGGTCCCCGGACTAGGTCAGCCATGGTTCTTCCCTGTTATGTTCCCATGGCCCATTTATTTTTTTTATCATAACAAAGAAACAGCACACCTTTTTCTACTACACATTTAATGTTTCTATTCGCCACTAGATTGTGAGCTCCATGAGGGCAGGAACCGAGTCTCTGTTGGTCACAACTATATCTAGCATATCTCATGGCACATGATGGGTGCCCAGAGAATATTGAAAATACAAGTGAGTGAGTGTTGTACTAAAATCATCACAGCGGAGTCTTTTCTCCTTCGGACCTGAGATTGCTCCCTTATATTCGTTACACCTTTTCCTTCTCTTTTACCTTTTTGTCTCATCAGAATATGTACCAAGTGGAGCAGCCAAGGCCCAGATGTGGGTCTTTCTTATTTCCTTCACCTTACACCACATTTAAAAGTGGAAAGGAGGCTTCTGGCTGTGTGTCCTATCAAACCACCAGCCGATTCTTCTTTTGTTTCTTATTTGCTATCCCTAACACTAATTTTTAACTGGCTGAAGCATCAGAGCCAGAAAGTGCCACCCTTGAATGTCTTGCTTGCTCAGCTGAAAGCAGCAGCTGTTCCAATAAGCAATTTGAGGTTCGGCACCTGAGATTGGCTCCCTCTTTTAAGCAAGACTGCAAGCTCAACAGAATGTAGGAAAGCATGAAAAAGTTTCCTAGCCTGTTTCTCTTAATGTAGCAAGGAAAGTAGCACAGGTTGAGGAAGGATATTTGCATTCTGGACAAGGAGAACTGGCTCCAACATGTAAATTTCAGCTGAACTTCTTTTGATGGGGTCCTGGGAATCACGAATGATTTGTTCATCAAAGGTTATGAAGAAATGACTGTCTGAAAGATGGTTTTGTTATTATCCCTATTGTGTGTCCTAAGTGGTGTACTGGTAAACGTGGCTTTCCCTTCAGCAAAGCCCTGACGTGTGGTGTTTGCCAATTTCTATAGTGTAAATAGTCCCTTTGTGGCTATTTCAAACTAGTAACATGATGTCATTAAATGTATAATAGAGAGGTACTGTACATGACCTGTTCGCATATAGTGCTCTAAGTAGATCTAGCACACCCCTGTCTGTCTTAATCCCATTAGCTCCTACTTGGAAACAGAATGGTGGTTTAGGGCCTGAGCCCACCATGGGAGACAATGATGGGTGGTGAGCAAAGGGCCAAGCTGGTGCTTGAAGCTGACAGACAAGGCCCATGAGCTAGAGAGGACACAGGCAAACATCCCATCTGGTGGGCAGGGGTGAGGGTGTAGAGAGAGTCAAGGTGAGGGTATCAAACCCAAAAGTTTAGCACCAGAGGCTGATAGATTTAGAGTGGAAACATTGATGACATCAGTGACATCTGGTTGACCTTGATTATGTTGCTGAAAGTCTCCACGCTTCAGTTTCTTTAGCTATAAAATAGGGATATATAATAATAGTTCTCATCTTAAAGAGTTTTTGCTGGATGACGGATTATTATAATAGATGTAAAGTGCTTAGCATGGTGCCTGGTGCAGAACAAGGGCTCAATGCATAGTTGCTACTACAGGTAGGCGGGCATGCATGTGAGCAGGTGGGGCTTCCAGAGAAATGGAACACGAGGAGGAACCTTTAAGGAACCTTAAACGCGAGGAGGTGTTTGCTGCTTATCTTCATGGGCTGGCGGTAGGTCTGCGTGGGTTAGCTGTCCTATAGGGTCAGGCCGGAGGTGGGTTGCTCAGCCTAACTGTTGGTGAGACAAAGAATCAAAACCCTCTTAAAAATTTTTTTTTTTACTGTTTATTTTTGAGAGCGAGAGAGACAGAACACAAGTGGGGGAAGGGCAGAGAGAAAGGGAGACACAGAATTTGAAGAAAGCTCGAGGCTCCGAGCTGTCAGCACAAAGCCCAATGCAGAGACTGAGCTCACAAACTGTGAGATCATGACCTGAGCTGAAGTTGGATGGAGTTGGAGCCAAAGTCTGACTGAGCCATCCACACTCCCCAAAAGCCTCTTTGATAATTGGTGGTGGTGGTGGTGGTGGTGGTGGTGTGTGTGTGTTTTAATTAATTTATTTTTTTGTGCCTGTTTTCTAAACCGTTGAAAGAAAAATCTCATTCTTCTCTTTGTGGCAGGTTGTGCACAAAATCCTTACATTGAATTTGGGCTCACAAAGAACCCAAGAGTGCATTCTCACATTGGAATCCTGTCAAAGAAGAGATCGGGAGCTCTACATATAGAGAGGCAGAAGAGGTGAGAGAATTATTGTTCCTGGAACACATGCTTCCCAGTGGGTAAGAAGGAAATATGTGGACATATATGGATGGAACGTGTTACACAGCCCTCACCGCACATGGCAGCTCCTTATGAGAATGCTGTCCTCTCTGTTCTGCTGTTGTTGCTGTTTTTGTTGCTAAATTCCAATAGATTGCCACATGAAGTACCCATGGCCGTCAGTCTTTCTGATTTTCCAAAGTCTGTAAACTTGAGAAAATCAACCACTGGGAATGTATTGTGCCTTTTCTAAGAAGTGCATCATGCCCTTCTAACAGGACTGGACTTTGACTTCTGCTCTCATTCTTTCTCCAAACAGCAGCAAAAGTGATCTTAACATGTACGTTGGAACGCTTTGGGAGTTGAACCAAACTCTATGGTGGACTACCTCGAACAGTCTGATTCCAACATCAACTCCAGGCTCCGCCCTGCTTCTGCTGTCTTAGTTCAGCTGCTTCCTCTTTTCTGCCTTTTGCACATGACCTTCCCTTGGCCTGGGTTGATCTCTCCCCCTCTTTCCAGAGATGGCTCCTTCTCTCACTACCCGTTGCTTCCTCAGCCTTCCCAGGTGGCAATTTCTAAAGCAGATTTCATCCCTGTTTGTCTCTCTCTCAGTTTCTTTTTTTGCTTCTCTAACTGGCATTGGAACAAGCTATATTTGGTAAGATAAGATGAGGAAATAACTTTATTTTTCACCTACCACAGTTTCAAACCTGCTTGGGAAGGATTTGCCAAGGATGATATTACAAGCAAATCCCATGGCTTTTATGGTGAATTTTGAGTATTAAGATCATCTTGTTTTTAGATATGAAATAGTCCAGTCCAATTTAATGTCAAAACTTCAGTTCCTTGTCCAGTTTAAGGTGTCTTCCGTTCTTTGAGGCTGAAGTTTGACTTAAGGGCCTGTTGACCAGTGTCCCAGTGTACAGAGGCCAGAAGAAAAAGTGGTCAGGGTCTTAATCTTCCATTTTTCACCTTCTTCTACTCCACACTGGACTCCCACTACCATTTTCAGAGTCAGACCGAGAGAGGAATGACAGGCACAAGAAGATCTTTTTAGGTAGCTGGTACCACTTGTAGTTCTTCCTTGATGGTCAAGGGTCTGATGTCAAGGTGGATAAGCAGCTGTTGTTTCTTTCTTGGGACAAGACTCCACTGGTGGCCTCCCTCCTGCCATTCTTACCCCAGAGGATGTTCTCCCTTTCCCCTTTCAGGAATTCCCATCCCTTCAGTCCCTTCTCAGCGATTTACCTCACACCACCTCTGTCTGCTGGGGTGGGCACTCCTCTGGGCCGTCCTCTCGAGACAACTTGGACCAGGAGGCTTTCCATGGTGTCCACTCTGCCCACCAGAAGCATTAAGCACCTTGCCCTGTGGCACTTCAGAAGTCCAGGCCACCCCCAAGGCAGCCAGCCTCTCCTTTTGCACTTTTTCCCTGGTCTTTGGGCACTGGGATACTTAAGAGCTCCCCCCACACTCTGTTATCATGCTCTGTTCTGGTGCCACGGCAGCTCTGGGGACCAGAGAGCTCCCTCACTACCTACCTGCAGCTCTATTCCTTAATCTCTAGGTTTCCCTCATACACCCAGTTTGGGGAAAACAAGTGGACTGTGGGTCACAGGACCAAAGACTGGTTTTAGCTTCCTCTTAGAAAATCCTGAATGGCTGGTCTATACCTTTATACCATTCATTAGAATTTGCTGGGGGAGTGGAGTGGGTTTTCTTTATCATCCATTGTTCACAGTTTGGCACTTTGGCCGAAATCCTGAGAAAACACCAAAAATTCTATCTGATATTTTATTATATTCTATGTAATTATTTTATTTATTTATTTTTGTCAGGAGCTCAGCCTAAGGAGGGAGTGCTAAACTGCCACATATAGGAGCAGTTGATTAAAGCATCAAAGAACCAAAATGAAAGCAACAGTGAAGCCTTAGAGATGACATCTGCAAGAGGCTAAGCCAGAGCAGGTGCTGCCCCCCTTAATCCACTCCCCCCATGGAATGGCGTCCTGGTGGAGGGTCGGCTGAATCGGCACTGATGGGGAGGTGGTCTGGTCCTGGAGGGAGCCCTTAACAACAGGTTCTTGCAATTTTATGAATGCTGGTGGAAGAAGAGGGATGCTGAGGGGGAGGGGGAGGAGTAGAAAACTCCTGGGTACTCCGTCAGAGTAGAAAAACTTGTTTTCAGGCTTTTCCCTTTTCTCCCCCCCATGAGGAAGGCGTGGCAGAAGTACCTGAAGACCTTGGATAAAGAGACCTAGGAATGAAGATGCATAGCTAGGAAAGCAAATATACAGAGTATGGCCAGAGCAGCCAGAGTCCTTGACTATGTCTCCTTTCAGAGGCTGCCCGGTGGCGTTGGCTGTACCCAGGCAGGTGTGGGGAGGACAGCTTTCCTCCATGAGGCCTGCCAGGTAGGGCTGTTGTAATTGCCTGTGGTTGGTTCTGAAAAACCACAGACACTTTTTTAGCCAGGAGCCAGACTCCTCAATTTTATTTATATAGTTATTATCTTTTTTCTCTAGAACGATGCTGGTTTCCCTAGTGCAAAACACAGTGCCTGGCACAAGGTAGGTATTGATAAGTGCCGGATGAGTGAGTGGAGGAATGAAGGGTCTGTGGCCTACAGAGAGAAGACCCCTGGTGGCCTTCTGGGAGTGACACCTGTCAAAGTCACATTGCCTCACCGGGCAGCCCATTCTTAACCTCCAAGAGTCATTGATTATTATTAGAGGAAAGGAAGATGGCAGTGATGGGGGTCGGCGGGGGGGGGGGGCTTCAAAGGTGGGACATGGCTTGAGTTACTGGGTCTGTTATGGATGGGATTTGGAGAGGGGGAACTCGGAAAACGCCATTTGGCTCATAAACTTGACGTCAGACTCGCCCACACTTACTAGAGCCATCTGTCTCGATACCTCCCACTTCCCCAGCGGAACACTTAGAGCATGCAAATATCTGCTGGCAGCACACTGCTCCCCACCAGCACCAAACAGGGAGGGAAGCGGGAGGGTGGTATTTTGGGACCCAAATCCTGAATCTCATTTAGTCCACTCCTTTTTCTGGCGTGGACATTTCATTTCCTTGGGCTGTAGATCAGTGCTTGTATATTTTTTTCCCCCCTTTAAATCATTTTTACTCTCTTTCATCCTCTGTCACTGCTTCATGCTTCTACTGGATTTTAAGCTTGTGTTTATTGAATGGGGATGAGCATATATTTGGGTTTGTACAAATGCACAAAGAAAGGAGATTTGCAAATGCGTGACAGTCATCATTGTGTTCTAGGAAACTTTGATCCACACAACCTATGAACTCTAGCCCTCCTGTCCTTGACTGTGGGGGTGGTTAGTGCTCCTTGTTTCTTAAGCATTTAGCCATTTGAAAAGAAATCAAGTAAAGCCACAGAATTATAGAATCCTGGCTGCAAAGAACCTTTAAAGTCTACCACATGTTAAAGGCAAAATTTATCTCTTGGGTAGAAAGGATGATGCCTTTGTGGGCCTTTCAGTTGAAGAAGGCAAGCCCCCTCCTACAGCGCCCCCCACCCCACCCCACCCCCACCCTAAGCAGGCACTGGATGGCTAAGGATGAGGTCAGTAGACACGGGAACATACTTGTATAGTAAAATAAGACAGCATTTTGATTATCCAATTGCAGACAAGACAAGAAGTTGTCAGGAACCCAAGAAACTCGTGCGGGGGCAGGGAGAAGCCTGAGTGACTCTGTAGACTGCCGAACCACAGGGAGGAGCCCCAAAGTCAGGAGGCATTCTCTGTGGCAGGGAAAGGAAAATTTATTTCTAGGGTTTAGTGCCTGATTTATAATTTGAAGTTGTTTTCTGCTCTATAAAATGCAGAGCAGAGTTCTGTGAGCCAGAGGGTCCAGGGGTTGCAGGCGACGATTCAGGCTTTGGGTGAAGAGACTCAGAGCCAGATGCGAATGGAGAAGAAAACCACAGTGATGCTTCATCTTTAGGAGGAAGGTGGCATTCAAAGGAGTAAGACGAACCTGATTTTGAGTTCACCTTACCTGTGAAGTCCATCTTCAAAACACCCATACACTTGATGAGATGCTTTCTTGATTGTCATCCAAATCATTGATACAGAGCAGCAACAGGCCTGAAGAGGCTGGTGTTGCCTGGGGTTACGACATCAAAGGCAGCCTTGGGAGACCTCCAGCCATATGCCAATCAGAACTCTTAGGGTCTTGGCAATCACCTAGCTACAAACTGCCCGAGCTGTGCCTTCACCAGGCCACACTTGTCCAGTTTCCCCAGAGGGACATTTTGATGTCTTTTTTCAGTTGTATCTGGAAGCCAGAAAGTCCAGGTCTGATGAGTTTCCTCTACTTTCTTAATTAGGAATCTCATTTGAAATGAAATAGATCAATCAGATATGACCGATTTCTCGTCAACATGTTACATCCCTTTGGCTGTATTTGGTGTTCTTTTTTTTTTTTTTAATTTTTTTCCAACGTTTATTTATTTTTGGGACAGAGAGAGACAGAGCATGAATGGGGGAGGAGCAGAGAGAGAGGGAGACACAGAATCGGAAACAGGCTCCAGGCTCTGAGCCATCAGCCCAGAGCCTGATGCGGGGCTCGAACTCACGGACCGCGAGATCGTGACCTGGCTGAAGTCAGATGCTTAACCGACTGCGCCACCCAGGCGCCCCATGTATTTGGTGTTCTAAATGATCACAAACCTGATATCTAATAGACTTCTCATCTGTCAGGGCTGGAAGTGAGTGCGATGATGGATTGTCTAATCCCACAGCCTCATTTTGTAGAATGCCCTGAACTTCGACTTGGCTAAGGTCACACAGCTGGTAAAAAGTAGGGGATTGTACTGTTTGTAATAAACATGTTCTTCCCCAGTTTTCTACTACCTGCTTTTTTGAGGGAGAAGATATGCATGTACTTTGCAGCTCAACTGAAATCTTTTTATTTTAGCTTTTGAAGTGTGCATGTGCTGTTAAACCAATTGGAGAGTAAATTTGTCTAAGGACAGGTACTTCTACTGTTCATACCAGAGGCTGGGGGTGCTGCTGACCAT